TGACGTATGAATCACAGCCTGGTTGATCAGGTATCCTTTGGAGGTGCTTAGCCATTTCTCTCTTGACCACTGAGAGGTCGGCCAGTTATGCTCCTTATGTGTAGTGGAAACTTGTTGAACAGCCTCGGGCCTCTGATGTTGATAGAGTACCTGTTGCACCTCTGCTTTTCAATGGGGGTATTCTGCACATCCTGCCATGCCTCCTGGTCTCATGTGATGTTATTTCTGTGTGTACTTTTGGGACCAGCCCCTCTAATATTTTCCACGTATAAATTATAATGTATCTCTCCTGCCTGCTGTTACGGACCCGGATCCAGCGTCCGAGCCTGGAGCAGTGACGACCACGCCATCTGTGGGTCAGCTCCCGAAACCTCCTCCAAATGGACGACAACACCTGGTGAGGACGAGGTGTACTGGCCACGAGGGCCAGTTTCCAGTCCTGCTCAGCTCACAACACAGCCGCTGCTGACCTCTGGTGAGGTGGTGCTCAGACAACAACGCCATCTATGGAGTGGATACGTCGGGCGTTTGTGTCTGAGCCTGTAAGTGAGGTGCTTTTGTGTGTCCCTGTTACTGATGACGTGTCTGATTACAGAGTCGACCTGGGACTGCTGTAATGGAAGTTGAGTCAGTCTACCCAAGGCAGCCGTCTCGACACCAAATGCTTTGCTGCAGCAGCTGTGAGTCTCCTCCCGGATGAACACTGTGGTGTTTCCCTGCCAGTGAAGTGGCAGTTGAAGGATTGTCGTACCCGGGACTCACTGGTGGAGACGCTTAACCACTGGGGTATTGTGGACAGGAGAGTGATCTGTGGTATCACACGAGGCTCCTGACTAGGGCGCTACCCTAGTATCGCTCGTGGAGTGGCCTGACCAGCGTTGCTGATCCGGAACCTGCCAGCAGTCTGCTGGACTTGTGGTTGACGGCCTCCACGGCGGTGCCCCCAGTGGAACTGTGTTTTGGCTGGCCTGTGGCCGGGGTAGACTCAGCTTTTCGAAGGATTCGTCGTGAGGCCACGAGAGCACCGAGAACTTGGCACCGAGAAGATCCAGGGTCTTCAGAAGAAGACTACTTTGTTAATACCCCTCCCCCTGTGTAACCTTTTATATATTATTTATTGGTGGCGGTTATTATATTAAGTTTTGACTTTATTTCCCTTCCCCTTTTAATTTACTTGCGTTGTGGATCACATCCCTTGAAAGCCACTACTGGCTTGGGGCCGGATACCCTTCCTCTAACGACATCAGAGTACGAACCCAGTTGCGACCCGAGAGGGCCGTAACACCTGCGCTCATGAGAATACAGATTTAGACTCTTTAGTCAGTCTCAGTAGTTTAGATGTTTTACAGAGTGGATTCTAGCAGTAAAGGATCTCTGCATGCTCTCCAGGTCAGTAATTTCCCCAGCTTTGAAAGGGACTGTCATTGTGCAGCAGTACTCCTCTCTACAGAGCACTAGCGTCTTAAAGTATCATCAGTATAGCATCTCTAATGTGAAAGGTTCTTGTTATCCGACCTGTCATTTTTCTTGCAGTTGTGATGGCTACTTTATTGTGTTCTTTGAAGGTAAGGTCTTTTGACATGAGTACACCCAGATCCTTTACATTGCCTTTTCGTTCTATGTTATGATTTGACTGAGTTTTGTACGTGGTTTTGGTTTTCATATTTTCCTTTTTTCCGTAGCGCACGAGCTGGAACTTATCTTCATTAAACACCATATTATTTTCTGTAGCCCATAGAATGACCTGATTTACATCTGATTGGAGGTTTGCCGTGTCCTCTATGTTGTCTACTCTCGTGAAAATCCTAGTGTGATCTGCAAAGGATGATATGGTACTATTGATTGTGTCCTTGTCTATGTCCGATATGAGGATGAGAAAGAGTACTGGAGCAAGCACAGTACCCTGGGGGACTGAGCTCTTTACGGTTGATGGACTGGATTATATTTTGTTGACTATTACACATTGGGTTCTGATGAAGTCTTATTTTGTGTATTCCACTGCTATAGTTATACATTTTGTTACTAAGTCATCATCTACAAAACCCCTGAGAAGCATTATTGTTTCTTAATTAGTTTTAACATCTAAAATGATTAAATGTACAGTAAAGAAACTGGAATAAATTTCTATACCATCAGTATTGGCTAGCAAGCTGGTACTGATGAACAATTTGGTATCAGTACCCACAAAAGTAATTGAAAATGCAACCAATGCATGCCAAACATACTACCTTGCATATTAAAATCAGGCATTAAAAATCAGTGGTTTCTGAGGAATGGGTCACTAAACATGGATGTACTGTACTGGTTTATAGCCACTAGACGCATGCGACAACTTGTCCTCTTACAAATTACGACTGAATTTGGCTGTTTAACCGTATGGCCAAAAATAAACGTAATATAAAAATAAAAAAAAATTGAAAATAATTTTTTTTTTCCTAAACTTACTGTTTAGGAAAAAAAATCCTCTGGTAGGTTAGGAGGGCAGGAAATTCTCCTAAAGTTTCAAAACATCACGAAAAATGTTAAATGAAAGTTTCCTTTCCTAACCTTACCGAGTAAGCCAGACAACTCAAACAGAAAACGGGACAGTACATCACTTTTGTGAGCCAATTTTATTTCAAATTACGTCCAGTGTTAGCCATAGAGCGCATACGAGCGATAAGCGACTTTATTTTTAAGAGAACGGGTTGCTGTAACATCAGATCTTAATGCTCAGTTAATCCCTAGAAATTAGCCATTGAACATTAAATATACCTGGAATACAGACCCGTGGATGCTTGTCACTGTACAGCTTTGGGGTTGAACATCAGATAGCCATATACAGCATGTTATTCTGGAGTACTGTATTGCCAAACTGTATGGAAATGAAGGGAGGTACAGTATAACAAAGCAGCCCATTCTCCTAAAATGACAGTACAGGTACTGTACTTATATAGCACCCATTTGGTCAAATATACAAAAATGGACTGTTGGACCCCAAAAAGGTAAGGTAATTATCAGGAGAAAGCACTGTCATTATGACTACATAGTACGTGGAAAAGATATGAGGATTTAGGATAGGATGAAAGAAAAAAGTTCACATTTTGTATTACTGAATTAGCCCAAATGACATTCCAAAATTTTTAAAATTTAATTAGAAAACCTAACCAAAGGTGTACAAGTAATCCTAGACCTGTTATAAACTATCTTTGGCCTAATACCTTACCTTGCAGTTACTTCCGAAATACGACCCACCAAATTGTTTAACAACCAGGTACCCAGTCACTGCTGGGTGAACAGAGGCTACAATTAAGGACTGGCACCCAGTCAATCCTCCCATGCGAGGATATGAACCCAGGCCAAAGCACTCGCCAAGTGCCGGGAGAGTGCTTTATCACTGCGCCACAGCGATGTAAGTATTTAATTTACCTGTACAGTATTATATAATTTTCTTCATTTAGCAATTTTGCTGCAACATGTTACAACATTGTGTTCACTTATAACAAGTAATTTACTGTTCAGATGCAATGTATTCCTGAGAAGCATGAGCTTGTATTCCAAGCTGAGAGCCATGTCTGGGTGTTAACGGACTCCAGCCATTGGTTTTATAATTTGTTAAAAAACTGCCGTGTTTAATTAGTAGAATTTAGTTACTAGAAAGCAGTAGATGAGGGTGGTCGTTTGTAACCCATCCTTAATGCAAAGCACACAAATTAATTCCACGAAGTAGATGTTTACCTCCATTTATTAATGAAAGCTAATTTACACATGAAAACTGACAATATCTGCTGCAAGGCATGTAGTTTTCTACAGACAGGCAACACGTATATAGCCGAAAGATTTTGCATTTTATTTTACAAGGGAATGACGTGGCCTCTAAATTAACAACTGATTACATTCAAAGTGAACTTCTTAAAAGATTCATGAGTTATGACAGGTCTAGACTAGATCGTGTACGCTAGACTTGGCTAAGCATTGAAGTGACTAGATTGGATTAAACTGGAAAGAGGATGTCGTAAGCTAGATTTAAACAATCTTTTAATATTATTAAAAGCAGAAGAAAGAAACTGTATCTTAAGTTATGTAAGGTGAGAAGTGAAAACTTCTGATGTTTAGAATTACCTGTAGATGATAAAATAGTTACAATCCCAGTTCAGAATTTACATTAACTACATTAATATGGTTAGTCCTTAACTGTGCGTTCTAAATTAGATCAATTTCCTAGTGTACATAAAAATATATTAAAAAAAAATCTTTCTATTGTAAAACATTGCTTTCTGATGTAAGAAAAAATTCTCATCACTTTAGATTGACCATAGTGAGGTGAAAACTTTTTATGACATTCTGAAAAATAATTTTCAAGTAAACTACAGTACAGTATTTGTAATAAATTTCTCCTCATTATTAATTCCTTCCTGGTCCATAAAAGACCTAGAAATTTTGCATAGCATCAACGGTTCCTAACATGAGCATCAGTTAATGGATGTGATTCACGTGACTGGTGGTGCCTAACTTTTGACTAAGACCCAGGAAGGAAACTAATAATTGTAGAATTTTTTTTCCAATATGGCAAATGACTTCCAGAGGTTTCGGTATCAAATGATGTCTACATACAATCTTTAGAACTTTTGTATATAACAAGGCACAGCTAGACGCTCACAGATGATTTGCTCACAGATCCCTCTCATGTAAAAGGAACAATTTAAGTGTTAATTAGCTCCATGAAGGGCTAATATAAATGCTAACATTTTATTAACATGCATCAAGGCTAATAGGAGCTAGACTTTATAAACTAACAATGGCATTCGACATCTCTATGAATGGGATACTGTACTGTCAAATCATACACAGGTATTTCTACAATTTTAGCTCATTTTCTAAATGTTAACATTTTATATATCATTAGGTTAGGCTGGGTTAGGTTTTAAAATCAGTCAACGAACCATCTTGGATATAAACTTACCTGTACAGTATCTGTATTAATCCCCGTTTTAAACAGTATCATCATGCACAGCACTTAC